GCCGCCAGCATCGCACTTACTTGGAGTGGAGCCCATCCTTGCCGTAGGGCTGCAGCAGGTACTGATGGACGATCTTATCCCGCAGCGTCCCTGCCAGCTTGATTTTCTTCCGGGAGCGATGCAGGTTGATGATGTAAAGGGTGATGGACCCCCGGACGTAGTTGTGGCTGCAAAGGGGAGAGTGGGAGCTGAGGGGTGCATTGCCACGTGCCCCGGGAGCATCACCTCCAAGAAGGGGTTTGGGGGTCTCAGCAAGAACAGGCCTCATGCAGCTGTCTGGAGGGGGCATCACTGTCCCAGCTGCCCCTCTGCAAGGAGATGCCACCTCCCCATCACAAAGCCAGGCTCTGCAATGACACCTTCCCAGTCTCCCCCTCCCCTCCTTGGCCAGGGGTGGCACAGCTCAAGGGGGTTCTGGGCTGGTGTCTGGGCAGGGCTGGCAGTCCTGGAGCCCCCCAGGGCCTCGCAAGTAGGAGGCTGAGAACGGAGGGGAGCTCTGTGCACGAGTGGCGTCTGCCCCCGCCACCCCAGACACCTAACTGACAGGTCCAGACACTGATCCTCTGTCCCTGCCTAATCAGGCAGCCCCAAACAAAGGCTATAAAGCACTTTGCACCTGTCAGTTACTGGACAAGGTTTCCTACCGAGCTGGAGGCATGTTGAAAGCATCTGGACTGTGTAAAGAAACAGCCTCTCCTCCTCCACAATAGCAACTTGTGTCTGCGGAGGAGGTGGCCGCCCCCCTGGCTCACTGGGGCGCTTTCAAAGACCTTATCAGCGAAACAATAACCAGGACCGCGCCGGCCCTGGCCAGCCCCGTTCCCAGGCACAGGATTGCTGTGATTTTCATCGGAGGCATCACCATTCCCGTGCGCTCCCTCCACCACCACAGCAGCCAGAGCAGCACCCGAGCACATCCCCTGGGAAGCCAACCTGCCTTGCCAGAGCCAAACCCTGGGCTCCTGCCCCAGCATGTCCTCGGTGGTCCCCATCTCCTGGGGGTCCCGATTATCTCCCCCCTGCAGCCCCCAGCTTCCCTCACTCCGCTTACTTGTGGTAGCTGGTGCAGTGGGCATAAATGCGGAGCTTGTCACGAATGACTCTGCCAGGCCGGGGTTTCCTCTGGAGACCGGCCACGTGGATCGCCAGGACCTTGGGACCGATGAGGCGCTTGTAGAGCAGGGACAGCCAGTAGTCCTGGGGGGCAGAGGGGACAGTCAGCAGCACAACGGTCCCCCCCCGACTCACAGCAGGAGCAGGGACAGGAGAGAGGCTGGCTTCCCTGCTTACAGCCTAGCAAAATTTTGGCTGTTGGGTAAAAATGTTGTGTGCCAGATGTCTGCCCTGGGGTGAGCCTTTTTTTTTGTACGGTCCAAGCCAAAATGGCATCACTGTTTCCAGGAAAGAGATTAAGGGAAGAATACACTGCTCTGCCCGCGCTGAGGGACACTGATACCCTCTAAAGGAGCTTGGCTTTTGGCTGGGCTGCAGGGCATGGGGAGCAGCATGGATGCGCTCGCACGTTCCTGTGGACCTGCACGCAGCCATGCTGCGGCCCGGTGCACCGGCTCCGGCTGAGGCGTGCGGGACGGCCATGTCTCTGGCACAGATGGGTCCCCTCCACCCCACTCCGCACACGGGGCTGGAGCACACCAGAGCTCTCCCATGCTCTCCAGCTCTGTTCGTGGCATGCTGGCTTTGCTGACCACTGAGGGTGCTCTGCTTCCTGGTGATATTTCTCCAGTTTTAACTCCTCCCATGGAGTTAAGCACCCATGAACATAGCATGGGGAAGCCAAGCACTCAAGAAGTAGGAAACGTTCAGCCCCTGCACACATGCGTTAATGATGCAGCCTTTAATTACGTCACCACATACTACTTTTTCCCGCAGGGCATGGCCTCGCTCGGCACACAGGATGGGCCCCAGGCCCCGGGGAGGGAGGTGAGGCTGTGCGGTGACGGAGGCTGCTGCCGGCAGGGCCCCCCCTCATCCGCTGCAGAAGCTGGGAGGTGTGTGGTAAATGAAGCAGGGTTGTGGGAAGGGAAAGGGCAGTCTCAGGCGCTCGCTTGCCGTTCTGCAGGATGGGGCTCTGGCCCCACCACTGCTCCGGGCACCCTGGGTGATGCTGGGGAGATGGAAACCCTCATGCTGCTTCTCTGGGTGCTGCCTGTGGGTGCACTGGGCATTGCCTGGGTGCTGGGGCACCTCCGCACACAGGAGTGCTCTGGATAAACACCCTCTGCGCAACCCAGACTGGCTGCCCCAGAGGGACCATGTGCCACAGGGCAATTGGGATGTTCCCCCCCCACCTGTTGGCAACGTCGGACACCCAGTAGCAATGATCACGCTGGTGCTAGGGACTGCTCTGCCCAGCAGCATCTGACCCGCACAGTGAGGAGGAGCTGCTGCTGGTGTGGAAAGGAGCACGGATCAAGTGCCCCGTGGGTCTGCACACTGCCTGGGGAGGCACGAGGAAAGCCCTGCGTGGTCAGGACAGTGCCAGGACGGGGTCTGCCACCCCAGAGGGGCATGGAAGGGGGAAATGGAGTCTCCAGGGCCCCAGGCTACAGGGCAGGATGGGCAGGTTGAAGAGCAGATCCCTCACACAGGTACAGGTGCCCATCCTGTGGGTGGGAAGCCCTCACCCAGCCCCTGATTAACATGCATTTTGGATGAAGAGGCCAGCAGGTGAAACAGAGCAGTGCTGCAGCAGCAACCGGCACGAGGCGAATACCCACAAGCCAGACTGGACCATCAGTCCCCATCCTCTCTCCAGCCCAGCTCAGCAGAAGCTCACCAGTTCCAGCAGTGCTGGGCTGGCCTGGTAAAGGGAGATCCAAACCCACTTCCCACTTTCTGGGTAAGCTTTCGCCACAGTGCTGGAGAAAAAGCTGCCTCCTGCTCTCCTCTCGCTGCTCCCAGCCAAAACCACGGGGCTTTGTGCCACACCAGCCTGGTAACTGCTTCCCCTGCAAACCCCAGGCCCTGGAGAGGACGTGACAGTGAAGGAAGAGACTCGTGCACGCCGAGGAGGCTCAGCCCGCGAGGCTGAAGGAAGAGACTCGTGCATGCCGAGGAGGCTCAGCCCACGAGGCTGAAGCTCCCGGGGAGGATGAGCTGCAGTTGCTCACAATAAGGGGGAGAAGCAGTGCCCGGCACACTGCCAGCTCCCCAGCAAGCCATGCCAATTAGCAGGCATCACTAAATGAGTAATTTTACCTGAGTTTATGGCGAGGCCAAAGGTGAGCACAGATTGCAGTGTTTAGCCCCACAATCGTGAGTTAAAAATAAATGAGTTCAGCGCTCCGAGCTACCTAGCAGCTCAGGCTCTTAGGTCTTTCTAGCAGCCCCCTTGGGGTTTGCCACCTCCTCTCCATATTTCCACTGATGGGATGCTGCTCTCACCCACAAGCCATGGGAGCGATAGAGGCCAGAAGGTTCGTGGCCACCCTTGAAATTTCCATATGGTCTCAAGAGCTGATTTGCAGGGGACTTGCGATGGCCATGTCGTGATGGGGAGCTGGAACCAGCAGCTCCAGCCTCCGGCTCAGCACCTGCCCCTCCAGGCAGGGGGTTTCCTGGGGGTTTGCTGCTTCGACACCAGTGTCCCTCCACTCTCAAGGCTCAGCAGCAGCAAGGTTTGCAGCATGGGGGTGCAGGGAGCTGCCCAGCCCCGCAACCTGCCCTGGTTGCTGCCAAATCTCTTGTCTCGGTGTAC